AGAGTGAATCTCCAGGGGTGTATTCAAGCAGCAGTTTATGGCCCACAGTCAGGGCTGGGGAGTGGAGCTTGCCAAATGCCCTCAGAATGCCAGCGCAAGGACAAAGGGCGCGGAGTCGCTCCCCTCCGCGCTTGGCCAGCCGCCGTCTCTCCTGTCTCGCTCCGTGGCTCCGGTTCAGGAATCCGGGCTCCGGGTCTTCGCTGGCGCCTCCTCACTCCGGAGACGCGGAGAGCGGCTTGCGGTTGCCTTGGGAACCTCGCCCCGGCCCGGCGCGCAGCGCACGACTCCCAGCGCTGTGCGCCGGGCCTGGGCCCCGCGCGCGGAGTTTGGCCTTTGGAGTCTCAGAGAGACACTCGTAGCCAGCGGCGAGGGAAAGGGGCATAGCGAACAGGGTTGTTTTTAGCTCTTCTTTTCCTTTTAATTGAGGTGTAACTAACAAACACTAATTCATACATCTTAAGACTACACAGCTTGATGAATTTTTACATATGTATAAAACCCGTGTAAAAGAATATGAAATATATATACATATACACACACATATATAGAAAAAGCTGAATCACTATGCTGTACGCCAGAAACTAATACAACCTTGTAAATCAACTATATTTCAATTTTTTTAAATGGGTAAAAAAAACCCGAAAAAACCCAATCCATGTAACCACCACTTGGATCTAGATACAGAACACTTCCAGCGCCCCAGAAGGCTTCCTCGGGCCGAGAGGTTAAAAATAATTGTCTTTTTTGCACTTTTCTGGGAATAAACCGGCGAAGGAGTGATCGCCTTCTCAGAACACGGAATTTATGTTTTCTCCTGGCTGTGCTTTGCCTCGGTGAGCCTCTGTGTCCCGTAAAGGGGAGCAAGGACTGGCGTTTGTTGTGGGGTTGCCTCCTTGAAAAGCGCTTTACATACCTAGCTAACTTTGACCCTGAGATCTACCCTAAGAAGTCAGTACTTGGTTTATACTCGTTACCGATGAGGACACTATGACTTGGAGAGAGTAAATAAATTGCACAAATTTGGATAGTTTGTAGATGGTGGAGCTTGAGCCTCGAACAAAGGTCTAACCTTGACGTTCATCCTTGCCCGCCCACCCCCCGACCCCCACCCCCACCCCCACACACATTCCCATTCCTTAGCCTCTTTTACAGAGTGGTACAAACAAAATGCGTTGGGAGAGCAAGTCATACCATATATATCTCTGCGCCTTTGCGCATGTCATTCCTTCTACTTGAGACTCTACTATCTTACCTGAGGCTTTGTCCTTGAGGCAAGCTCCTACTCATACTGTAAAGCCCACCCTGACATCCTCTGAAGCCTTCCTAACTGCAATTCTCCCTCATGACCCCTCAACCCAGGGTAATTACTCTCTCCTCCATGCCATATCCAATCCATAAACAGGCCCACCTCTCACGGTGCCCCAAGGGCTCCTCAAGTCTGCATCTACGTTCAACCAGCAAGATGCCTGGCACACATCTGGTCCTCAATAAATGTGCTTGGAACTGAAAGTGGAGGAGAGATTTTGGAACCTTGATTTCCTGCTCTGTAAAAATGGGGCCTGCATTAGGCCCTGGGGCAGGTCACTCAAAACATATTGAGCCAGGTGGGGTGGGGAGAGCTTCCGGAACACCTGGGGTGGAACCACATTGGTTGCTCTCAGCCCACCCCAACTCTGTTAGGGAATGGACTGCCTGGGAAGAGTTCATTCCTTCCCATGGGGGAGCGGAGCGTACACTCGCCAGAAAAAGCCACAGCGGCCCCTAGGGACCCAAAAGGAGTCCCAGGAGCCATAGCTCCCCCTTCCTTCCAGGACCCCACCCATCCAGGAGCTGATGATTCAGTGGTAGGGTTTCCTCAGGATCGTGGTTTTCACTTTACATCCACTTTCCTTCCACACAGAACTTGAGGCAGTTGGCAGGACATTCAATACAGTGGTGAAAATATAACAAAGGACTAGGACCAGGAAGGAAAAAAGACTATTTATACATTTTTTCCTATAATTGAGCAACTGCCCCATTCTCTCTCCTGTAAATCTGACTTTGAACATACAATTTGCTTTCTTAATGAGGGAAAAAGAATCCTCGCCCTTTGAGCTGAAGGAAATTTTCCTCTTGGCTTCCCCTCAATTGCATTCCTACTACAGACAAATTTTGGGTCTCAGGAAAGCAAGGCTTAGAATGGTGAGGGACTTGCCCGGAACCACCCAGCATCCGGGAAAGATAGGTCCAATGGTGCAGGTGGCCAGAGTGCCAGCATGAGCCAGGGAGGTGGGGTGGGTAAAATGAGTGAGAGATTTTCCCTCTTCTTCATGGGGAGCTTTGAAAAGTGCTCCACCTTGAAGATGAGGTACGTATGAAAATAGCAGGGCTGATTACTGGGGACAGAGTGGTAGAACTTTGGGGAGAGGAGATCTATGTGACCAAGAGACAAGTTTGAGCCTCAGTTTCCTCATCTGTAAAACAGAGGTGATGAGCTCCCCGTCCTGAGACTGGGAAAACTAGACATAAGGAGGACCAAGTACCAGCCAGCAATACTTCCATCTTCATTATCCCCATTAACAGATGGGAAAGCTGAGGCCTCGGGAGGGGACATGGCAGGCTCAAGGCCACTGTGGCAGGCCCAGGACAAGATCTTGTCCTTGAGGCCAGCCAGCCTGGGTTCTTTCTCCTTCACCACCATGGTGGTGGTCAGGCCTCAGACCTCCTCTGACCTGGGCCAGTTCCCCTGTGGTCCCCCCAAAGAAATAGAGAGAAGAGGAGGATTTTAGCCTTGTTTCAGCCCCTGCTGGCAGTTGGGGCTGCTTCTCAGGAGGACAGATGTTTCACCAAATGGCAAATGCACGTGCTTTTCCCTGGCTTGGGGAGGAGGTGGGCGCTGAGAAGAAGATGCCAGCTGGTTGGGCAGAGAGAACCGTAGCCACACCTGAGAGATTTAAATAGCCACCGCCTTCTCTGGGCACTGACTGGAGGGGAGGCATCTGGGCAGGATTTGGGGGGAGCAGGGAGCGTAGCAGCCCATTCAGAACCTGTCACAGCCCCCGGATGAGTGTCTGGCTTTTCCTCCCAGAGGGACTTGGACCACGCACCTCACTTCCCTAAGCCTCAGCAGCCTTCACCTGCAAAGTGAGAATTTAAAGCCTGGTTCAGACGGGGACAATTGAGGCTGAACGGAGAGAAGATATTTAACGTGCCTGACCCATGCCTGGCACCCAGAAGATGCTCAGTACTCGGTGGCTCTTATTATCTCAACCTCCCTGCCAGGACAGGAGTCCCCAGTGCAACATCCCTGACAAATGGGCACCCACCCCCTGCTCACCTGCCTCTCATGACAGGGAATTCATCACTTCCCATGACACCCCACAGTGTAATGTGGTGATTGAATCACACGAACCCTGGAGTCAGATTGTGTCCTGGAATCCAGGCTTCACTATTAAGTGTCTGTGTGACCTTAAGTAAGTTACTTAACCTCCCTGTGCCTCAGTTTCTCCTGTGTAAAATGGAAATAATAACAATACCTCCCTTCTAATGCTGCTTAGATCAGTGCCTCTCAAACTTTCATGTGCACAGGAGTTACCCAGGGATCTTGTTTAATGCCAATTCTCATTCAGTTGGTCTGGATTGGAGCCCGAGATTCTGCAGTCCTAGCAGGTGATACAGATGCTGCTGCTCCTTGGACCACATTTTGAATCTCAAAGGACAGCCTTGCCTTGGGAGTAATAGTGAGGGAGCCATGGAAGGGTCAAGAGTGGAGGAGTAGACAATTTCATCATGGCAAACACTCTCTGGCTGGCTGTGGCGGGGTGGAGGGCAGGGGAAGCCAGTAATTTAGGGAGAGATGAAGGTCCTGAGTTGGAGAAGGGGCTACAGGGGTCAAAAAGTTGGGGGGGCGGTGGTAAGGGCCCTTAGCACATGCAAAGGCAGTCCACTTTTACATATGCAGAGACCAAGGCCCAGAGAGTGGCTGACCTGCTCAGGCCACACAGCACTGAAAGGACTCCCATCCACCATTTGTCCTTCACCCTTCACTCTTCTGTCCCCCAGTATGCTGACCAACATCCCACAACCTCCTGGACTCTCTCTTGGCCTGTGATCCTGTATAACAACTTACACCAAGAAGAGGGAGATACTAGGGAGGACCCTGGATCTCCCTGACAGACCTGACCTCGTCCATACTCACACGGACACCATTTTCCAGATGAAACAGCTGAGGCCAAGAAATGAGAAGGCTTTCAGCTCCTAGGCTGGAACTGAGGTCAGCCTGACTCCCAGCCTGAGAGTCTTTGGTTACCATTGTCCAACAGGCCAGGTCAGGAGGGTGAGAGGGTGGGAATCTGGCTCCAGCTCTTCTCCCAACCCAAGGAGGAAGTTCAGATTCCAGGATGATGATGATGACAGCAGTGGGTCACCACCTATGGGGGGCTTCCAACCTGCTAAGCTGATACCAAGCACTGGCACGCAGGATCCCGCTTCACCCCGGCACTGGCCTTAGCCCCGCGTGTGTGTTCAGAGGAGGGAACTGAGGCAGAGCGGGGCCCGGGAGCTTGCCCACAGTCACGTGCGGGAGGACCCCGGGTTCCGAGCCGAGGAGGCGGCGGCCTGGACTCCTGACAGCCCCCTCCCCGGGCAGCGGCGGGGCAGGACGTGGC